CGTATATACTTGTTTGTTTTTACGCACTCTTTTTATTAAATTTACATCACGCATATTTGTGCGCATTGCACAATTTATTCTGCTGTGCTTCTCACAATTTATTCGATCTAATCCGATTACTTCTGACAAGTAAAACTTACGGAGAAATTTCATTAAAAACGAATGGTTCCAGCACTTCCATAGGTTTACTTGTGAGATCAATCCGATTAGATCAGGGAATTTTTTGAAATGCAATGGTTGCGTTCAGAATGTTTATTTTACAACTGTTGGTATTTTCTTCGTGCTGATTGAATTATATTTTTAGATCTAAAAGAATGCTCCTATCTCAACAGAAAATCAAAACGGTTGCAATACTTGTGTTGCAATGAATATCACTAGTCGGTCGGATTGGAAATCCGACAATTCGTCGTAAACACCCAAAGTATCTAGATCAATTAGAACCTTAGGCATCTGTAGCGGAATACCCTGCCACACTACTAGTAGTATATCGCAATAGCAACTCCTTTCCACACACGGGAATAAAAAATCGTTAGTAACAAGACGTCTTCGACCTTCTACACATTTGTGATGAAATCAAATGCACAAATTGAACTGCAGAAACTTTGAAAAGTTAAAGATAGTACTTATACAAGCAAGAATTATGTTCACTCTGGCCTAGAGAGCTCTCACAGGAAGAGGTGACAAAACACATACATTCATATTGTCAATTGAGTAAACACACATTTCGGACACGCATACCATTTTTAGAACATGGACTATCTAGAGATAGACTTTATTCTATGGAAACCTAGTGGAAAGCCGGTAATTGCAAAGAAATTGAGATTGCGTTTACTACGATAAAATAAAAATTCACATATTACTTACGTTTATTCTATGAAATTCTAAAGAATGAAAAGTTTGGTGCCACTCGAGAACAGAATCCTCTCGAACATTAATCTAATCTTGACGAATATTAAGCCGGTTCTACATTAGTTGCAAGCCGATCGAAAGTTTGTTGTGACAGCCAATCTGAAACTTGCATTTTGAAATCAATATTTCATATTGGCTGTCACAACAAATTTATAATCGACTTGCAACTAACGTAGAACCGGCTTTAAACGCTACCAACGCTATGTTAGAGTCGTTCACGGAACTTGCAAACGCTAATGCTACCGATACACTATCTCGGAAGGAATAGCATTGGGTAAGTTTAAGATAGCAAAGTGACTAGAAGACATGCTTACTAAGCGATTGAATATGATTGATTAGATCTATAAGTAACAATCAATTATGTTCATTTGCTCGGCGAGTAGGCTAGCCGCTTTGTCAACTTGAACGCGCCTATTGATAGAATGAGCGCGAATAATGTCTCCCCCATGATAGAAGGGATAACATGATATGTGCAGTTGGACGCTGTGTCTCTCTCTCTCTCTCTAAAATTTCTAGCCTCTCTGTCTATGGATGTCCGTGGGCGAATCGAGCTATCAACTAAATGCTAAATATGGTATTCATACCCAGTTAGAAATGGTAATGAAATCGACATCGATTCGAATTTCAATTTGGTGCTTTCGTCGAATCAACATCGATTCGACATCCATAGACAGAGAGGATGGAGATTTTAGAGAGAGATAGCGTCAACTGCACACACCAGTTATCCAGCCAAGGTTAGACATCTTTAAACATAAAGTATTATACATGGTGTTTATACCATATAATACTGTATATTATACGTATTATAGTACGTTTTATACATTTTATGTGCTATACGTGTTATACGTATTATACATATGTTTTTATACACAGGATGTCCCGTAAGTTTTAATCAATCGCTTTTGTAGATAGAGTGGATTAAACTGAGTCGAAAAGTCCTCTATCATTATGCAATTTTCGCAATAATTATTGAACAAGATATTAATTACTAAAAATTGTCAAATATTGGTCTTGAATAATTTTTTACTCAAATAGTATCAATTTTACAGAAAAATTACAACAGATAAAAATCATTTATTTTCTTCTCATAGAACTTTAAGAATTTTTTCAGAATTTTTGATCAACTTTTTAGTACTGCATTTTCTTATTTTTTACTAACATGAGAAAGTATGGTATTAAAAAATTCTAAAAAAATTCTGAAAAAATTCTCAGAATTTATAAAAAGAAAATAAATTTTTGTCTTTTACAGTTTTTCTATAAAGTTGATAGTATATGAGTAAAAAATTATTTAAAATCAATATTTGGCAATTTTTAATAATTAATACCTTGTTAATTATTGCAAAATAGTAGAGAACTTTTCGACTCAGTTTAGTCCGCTCTATCTACACAAAAGCGATTGACCAAAACTTACGAGACACCCTGTATATGTATTATACATAAGAAATTACTCGCAGCTCTAAATTGTCCAATCCAAAAATCTGTTGTACAACGTGCTTTTTGTTTCCTGTTTCTTGCCTTTTATTTTTTACATCTTGTCTTTTTGCTTCTTATCCAGTTTTTTATTTTATATCGCTCAAGATAAAAGATTAACAAACTTTTAAAGAAACAAGAAATATATAATACGTAGTAAAAAATACAATGATAAAATGATAAAAAGAAGAAAAAAACAAGAAACAGGAAACAAAGAGCACATTGTAGATTTTATCCCTTCCATCATGGTCATCCCGAATACACTCTAAATAATTATCAAAAAAATTACAGAAAGTGATATAGTAATTATTTAGAATATCGATCCTCCCTTTCGAATCTTAATAAAAATTAATGTACTCATTCGACGCGTTTTCAATCAATGAAAGAATCTAGCAAAAAAAAAACACGGCGATTAAATTGAGTTATTAGGCGTTAAAGCTCGGAACTTTAGAGGTTAAAATATCTATCATCTCCACTCGATACAGTGCTATGTGTACATTCTACATTATTAATTATACAAATTTACTGTTTTAAAAACACAAATTCATTGGCTGCATTCAGCAGAGAAAGCAGCAACTGTTGCAAAATTCTTCAATATCCCAGCAAACGAAAATAGATTGAAATGAATTGAAATGGATTCAGATTTTCAGAAATATTGATTCACGAATGTTAAAATGAATGCTTTTCAATCTTGAATGCATTTTTATTCATTTATAGGAATTGCATGGAGCATATCTCTATGCCTTTCAATCTAAAAATAATTTTAGCTTCTTCTGTGCACAACACACACATTGTGAATGTTCAATTCAAAATTTTGAATAGGAAATGTAGTTTTTCAATCCAATTGTATCCAATTAAATCTAATTGAATCCAATTGAATTCAAAAAAAATATTCGCTATTTAAAATACGCATTCGGATAGAAAAAAATTTCAATCCATTCTCGTTTGCTGAGACGATTGGTTCTTGCTTTTTCTTACAGATCTAAATCTGTATAAACTAATCATAGTGAAAAATTTTACAACAGTTGCAAAACTGCTTTCTCTGCTGAATGCAGCCATTGCTTTAAAAACAAATTCACTATTTTAAAAATTCACTGTTTAAGCACATAAATTCTTTGCATTAGCAGTGAATTGTGTTTGTAAAGCAGTGAATTTGTGTTTTTAAAATAGTGAATTTGTGTTTTTAAAGCAATAAATTTGTGTAATTAAAACAGAACATATATATAATAATAGAGTCGGAATAACAGATATCTTAACTTCTAAAGTCTCGAATGCTTAATAATTCTATTCACGAGGCCAACCGCCGCATTGTTTTGTCATTCTTTCGTTTTGAATGAAACGCATCGAATGAGTATATTTTTATTAAAGGTTTCTTTCTGTTCCTGCACTGGTTGCGTTAATTCAAAAAGTGTACACTAAAATGTTTTCTGTTCCCAAAATGGCGTCAGCAACGATGTTTTTTGTTCCAGTGCAACAGAACTTAGTGCACAAGTTTATTGTACTGGCTGCACTAAGTCTAGAATCAGCCCAGCAAACGAGAATGGATTAAAATGGATTGAAATTTTTTTCTATCCGAACGCGTATTTTAATAGCGAATACTTTTTTTGGATTTAATTGGATTTAATTGGATCAATTAAATTCAATTGGATGCAATTGGATTGAAAAACTGCATTTCCTATTCAGAATTTTGAATTGAACAGTATTCACAATGTGTTGTGCACAAAAAAAGCTAATGTTATTTTTAGATTGAAAGGCATAGAGATATTGAAAGGTATAGAGATCAATGCAATTTCTATAAATGAATAAAAATGCATTCAGGATTGAAAAGCATTAATTTTCGTGAACCAATATTTCTAAAAATCTGAATCCATTCGATTGCCATCCAGGCTCATTCGATGCATTTTCAAAACAAAAACTCTATTCTTGCTATGTGCGAAAAGTGTAACCCTAAACGATGAAAATAAGACAATTTGAATATTAATAAATAAACGTTAATCGCTAGAAGCAAATTAATAAAAAACCTAAAGCCATAAAGCATGAAAATGTGATCGCAGTTACATATTTTCATCACGATATTTCACAACTGACAGATTTCCTAACCTCAATAGTCGTTAACTTCAACGCTTAATCTCTCGGTTCGCAAGACTAGGCACAACATTTTACTGCCAGATTCTTTCATTTCATGTAAAATTCAAAATTCGCGCCGAGCATAATTTCATTGAAATTGGAGAAGAAGTAACGATTCTAAATAAATACAGTCTAATAGCATTTTCTCTTGGCTGCACTATTGCCTACCACTGCAACATTCAGAGAGTGCGTGTTTCGGTGGTAGGCAAATTCATTCAGTGTAACGTGTTTCCGTGGCTATAGTATAGTGCAAATTTTATGCACAAAGTGAGATTTTGCTACATGATCTCAAAGAGACGGTGTAGAGCCAGTGTGACATTAAAAATTTGAAAATGAAAGTCAACCGGCAGCAGAATTAAACACGATAGCATGAAATAGTATGTCATGATGTATGTACACTTGTGTAGTGCAGCACTGATGCAGCACTTATGCACAACTGGTGTAGTGCGAGGTTATACTCAGTATATCCCAAGAGAAAACGCTATAAAATACGTGTACATAGCACTGCATTAAATCGATGTGACAGATTTCCTAACCATAATGTCGTCAACTTTAATGCTTAATATTTTGGTTTGCAGGCTTAGGCATGACATTTTACTATCAGATTCTTTCGTTTCATGCGAAAATGTGACAAATAAGCATAATTTTATTAAAAGTAAGGGGCGTCTTCTAAATAATTATGAGTAATAAAATGACAAATATATATAAATAATAGCAAGCCTATATATAAAAATATTTTGTGTCATTAACTTTAAGAATTTTTAAAAATGGAATTGCATTCATTGAATCTAATAGCATTTCACACGAATCTAATAGTGTTTTCGGTTTGACCGGGTTTGCAACTTGAGTTAGAAGATGCTTCGCTATTGGTTGATGTTATATGCTCTACCAACAATAGGAGAGTACGAAACATCATTACTTTAACCCAGGTTAGTACTAGAATCCTAGATATAACAGAGAAGCGCAATCGCTGTCCCAATTTCTAATTGGTTCCGCCATTTTTTTCTACGGATAGTCTTCTAGGATTCTAATTTCGGTATCATAATTTTTAAATCTTGATATGTATACTGTAGTCTCCAAAAAGAATCAGTATTTTTTTGTAGTCAGTAGAAACACTACTGTTATAGGAATCGCACTCCGTTTGCGAAATGACAGATGGAAACGCAGGGCGCCATTTTTTCTTCGAATGATTAATTATAACTTTTAAATATGCCGATTGCGCTTCTTTGTTATGGGAGTCACGTTCGGGGAAACATTATTCGCGCTATAGACGCAGGCGCTACCAACGCTGATCTTGGAGCCAATAGTACGATAGCGTTAGCAAATTTGATGAACGCTCCTAGCGTAGTATTGGTAGCGTTTAACCAAAGAGATATAATTCGTCGAGGTTAAATTAATGTAGGGGATTCTGTTTCCAGTTACTAACCAAACTTTTCCCTATAATTAAAATATTAAAGGTTTTGTAAAGTATTTATAATGTAAATTTTTTATTTTCTCGTAGTGAATAACAGAACGCAATTTCAATTGCAATCTCTATGATAGTTTGCCGCTAGGCCGAAGTGAACAATGTAGAAACTAGATCAAAAAATTAATAGTTACATTAAGTAAATTAATTAGATAAAAGAATCCTTGAATATCCGTTATCGATTTTAAAAGAAGAAGCATATCTATATCTAATAAGGATTCTAATAAGCATCTGCAGCGGAATATCCTGCCGCACTATATCACAATAGTAACTTTTTTCCGTACACGGGAATTAAAAATTGCCAATAACAGATACCTCTGATTTTCACATTTATAATGAAATCAAATACACAAGTTGAACTTTGCAGAAACTTTAAAAAGTTAAAAAAAATGATACACAAGAATTACTTTCATTCCAGCCTAATGACAAGCCATCAGTAGAGATTAAAATTGAGATTGCATTCATTATGATAAAATTTGAAATTCACACATTACGTACGTTTACTCTACAAAATTCTAAGAGAAAAAAATTTGGTGACACTCAAAAATCTTAAACATTAATCTAACTTTGATGAATGTTAAACGCTACCAACGCTACGCTAGGATCGTTCACGGTCTATAAAACTAACGCTACCAATACAATATCTCGGAAGGAATAGCGTTGATAGCGCGTACACGTTACTACAGGGTCATCTAGCGTTTGCAATTTCAACTACTTATGTTTGTTGAAAGGCGTAATAACATTTATGACATATCAGAAATTTAATTTTTTGACATTTACGAAATGGGTCGCTATACGCTTGAACAAAATGGGGAAATATTGAAAACTTACTTCCAAAGTGGTGAGTCTTCAACCCAAACTATAAGAAATTTACGTGGAAAATTTGATAGAAAAGAAATGCTTTCAATGCAGTTTGTGGATCAATTTGTGAAGCGAATTCGGCAAACTGGATCCTTATTGGATAAAGCAACTCGTTCACGTACTTGTCCAGTAAGATCAACCGAAAACATTGCTGTTGTTGCTCAGAGTGTGTTTGAACAACCATCAACTCGTCATCGTTCTCAAAACTTGAACATTTCATGCACTTCTTTGAGAAGAATTTTGAATAAAGATCTCAGTATGAAGCCGTACAAAATTCAAGCTGTACAATTAGCAAGAATTGAAGCCGCATGACCATCCGATGCGTTTTCGGTTCGCCCAATGGGCTGAACAACGCTTGGTTGAAGATGAGCATTTTTATCGAAAAATCATCTTTTCTGACGAAGCTCATTTTCACCTTGATGGCTATGTGAACAAGCAGAATTGTCGTATTTGGGGGTCAGAGAATCCGCACGTCGTCATGGAGAAGCCGATGCATCCACAACTGTTTGGTATGGTTTTTGGTCCGGCGGTATCATTGGACCATTTTTCTTCGAAAATGAGCAAGGAGGTGCCATCATTGTCAATGGCGAGTGCTACCGCGCCATGCTAAACGAATTCTTGCTTCCCAAATTTGAAGAGGAGGACATAGACTACATTTGGTTTCAACAAGACGGCGCACCAACTTGCCACACAGCCAATGCTACAATCGATCTTTTGCGCACTGTCGAAAATCGCATAATCAGCCGAAATGCTGATGTCAATTGGCCGCTTCGCAGCTGCGATTTGACTCCGTTGGACTATTTTTTATGGGGAACCGTCAAGGATGAGTGATATGTTAACCAGCCAGAAACGATTCAAGAATTAAAACATGAAATCAAAGTTGCCATTGATGAAATACGCGCTCGTACAGTGGAAAATATACTGAAAAATTGGGTTGATAGAATGGGGTATTGTGCAATCAGCCGTGGAAGTCATTTGAATGAAATTGTATTTCATGTTTAATGACAATGTATTACCTTTCCAATAAAGCTATAAACTTTGAAAAATATTCATGCGTTTTTTTTTTAGAGCCAAATTAAATTCCAAATTTTAAATGGCCCATCCTGTATTAGTGATGTCATGTTTGTTAACGCTATCTGCAAACAGTTTGTAGCGCTAAATAGCGCAAATAACGTCTCCCCGAATGCATTCTATATGTAGATCTCTAGTTAGTGCAAACTCGGTTGGACCAAAAATACTTTTATGTAAATAATATGGGACGCCATTTTTATCTTAAAATGTTTTTTATTCCTTGCCTGCATGCTTACGCTCGTCAGTTACATACTCTTGCAGGGTATCAATCATGAAACTATTCCTGGGATGGAAAGTGAAAATTTTAACCATTGAAGTTAATAGAGAAATTTTTCATTTTTCATTCTAGGAAAAAAATTTCATGATCAATACCCTGGATTGCACTAGTTCAATTCAGTTAAATTCAGAACAGAAAATAAAGATTCTAAAGGAAGGGGGGGACTCGTATTAGTTATATTCTAATAATTATCGAGAGTATTTATGCATTAGTTGGCGTTGACATCTTTGCATGTCCTTGACAGCACTGAACATCTTTATCAATTTTTATTTAGATTTACATCAAATTACATCGCTGCTGAATATTGCAAATGTCGCCTTTACAAATGCGATGATTCGTTAAGTCGAATGATGAAGATCGAATTTCGATCATATGAATCATGTCAACACTCATTGAGATCAGCAATAGCTCATTCCCAAATGAGGATGATTGCGTTATCACTATGATCGAGCGAATCGACTCGACGGTGACGTACAATGATTTCTTCTCGAAGTATCTAATGTGTAATAAACCGTGCGTCATCAGTTTTCAAGCAATCAAGAACTGGCCATGCAGGCATGAATGGGTACTAAACGGTGCACCTAATTTCGAGATGCTCCGCAAGCTGTTTGGTATGTGCAAAATGAAAGAAAGGAAGGATTGCACTGTTTAGATTATTAATGTAATCTTTATTGCTCAGGACCTTCCATTGTCCCAGTTGCTGATTGTAATAGAAAGTTTTATAATTCGCAATTTAAGAATAACATGTCCATGAAGAGTTACTTGGAATATTGGGCTGATTATAAGCGAAGCTGTTATGATAAATCGATGCCATTATTATATTTGAAAGATTGGCATTGCGTGAGAAGTTTCTCGAATGTCCCAATGTATGAAGTACCTCAGTATTTTGTATCAGATTGGTTAAATGAATATTACATTGCTCATCCCGAATTAAATGACGATTACATGTTTGTATACATGGGACCAAAAGAGACCTGGTAAATACACTTTTGATGTTACAATTTTGTTTACAAAATTTGTAGAGTCCAACCGAAACAACTTTTTTATCTTCGGTCGAAATCGAAAACGAATATTCGGTTTTTATTCTATTTTTGCCAAAACCGAAATTGGATAAATCTTATAAACACCACATAATTTTCAGATTCATTGGAAAAAGTCAAAATATGTAAAATTTATGCACTCTTTTAAAAATAAGATTTTATTAATATCTTATTATTTCTTATTACAAGGAATTTTCTATACATTATAAGGAGTTTCAGGCACTAGACTTATGACGACTTGACTAGTAAAAAAGAATAAAGAAGGAAGTCGGCGTCGTTTACAGCAAACGGCGTCGATCAGTCGATGACAATAGATATAGTTTTTTGAATACTCACTAGCGCAATTGCAATTTGTACAATTTGTACACATTGCAATTTATACAGTTTTGGTTCAAGGCCGCAGCACAGACTTTTGCATAATTCATAGTAGTAGTACATAAGCAAATCAACTAATCAGAATTTACCGATGTGAACCTGGCGCTCAACTTTATCAAAAATAAAAATTAATACCGCAGTTTGTACTTCGTTTGTACTTGTTTGTATTATTATTTCACTTATACCTCAAACAATTAAACAAAAAATGAAAAATAAAAAATGGCCAGTGCGCAACTTTAAGATTTTTTAATTTCACTTATACCATTCGAAAAAGAATCCTTTGTACCCATTTGTGCCTCTCCTACTTTCGTTTGTACCTCAAAGAGTTCGGAAATACAGCGCGTTTCAGTTTTTGCGCGACTCCTATATAGCGAACTTAGTATAGCGAACTCAATTTTTACCTTAGTCACTTTTCCTTTCGCCGTTGGTCCCATTTCGATATCTTTAAAAACCAACTTCCTCTCTTGGCATTTTCGAAATTTTGAAACGCGCTGTATCTCCGAACCCTTTGAGGTACAAACGAAAATAGGAGAGATACAAACGGGTACAGACGATTCTCTTTCGAATGCCATTGGTCTCATTTCGATATCTTTAAAAATGACCGACTTCTCCTCTTGGCGCACTTTCGAAATTTTGAAATCGCTGTATCTCCGAACTCTTTGAGATACAAATGAAAGTAGGAGAGGTACAAACGATTCTCTTTCGAATGGCATAAATGAAATTAAAAAATTCTAAAGTTGCGCTGGCCATTTTTTATTTTTCACTTTTTGTTTAACAGAATTTTTCTTTTCTTCCTATTCCATGGAAAAGAAGAATTTCGATTGTTAATTCCCTTAATGCATTATGCATTATGCGTTATGCAAGAATCTGTACTGCAGCCATCACTTACCGAAATTTTTTCTTAATTTCGGTTGAAATCAAAATCAAATTGAAACTAATTTTTGATTGAAATTAATTTTTGACCAAAACCGAAATCGAAATTTTGATCAGACTCTAAAAATTTATAACCCTTATATTTCTTAATCCTTTAAAGCACACTTTTCTTTACGTAGAATTCAGTTGAAATTTGTTACTCGGGAGTTTTTCGTGGTCATTGATTACGAATCTGGCCTCAGATTTTCGAAATAGCGAAAAATTGTTTGATTTCAATGTAACTTGTTACTCGGGGATTTTCGAGGTCGCTGATTACGAATCTGACTTCATATTTTTGAAATTCAAAATGGCGGACAAAAAATTTAAAAATTAGTTCTGTAAAATAAGTAGGTTTTTTTGGGTTACTTATTGCGAATGTGAAATCAAAATTAAAAAATTACTTGATTTTACAGCCCGAAACTAATTTTTTTAATTTTCTGTTCACCATATTGGATCCGCCATTTTGAATTTTGAAAATCTGAGGTCAGATTCGTAATCAGGGATCGCAAAAACCCCCGAATAACAAGTTTCAGTGAAATCAAGCAATTTTTTGCTCTTTTGTTCGCCATATGAGATCCAACATTTTGAATTTTGAAAATCTGAGGCCAGATTCGTAATCAGCGTTCCTCCCGAATAACAAGTTCATTGATATCAAGCAATTTTTTGCTTTTTTATCCACTATTTTGAATCTACCATTTTGAATTTTTTAATTTTGACATCAGTTTCGTAATCAGCGACCCAAAAAATCTCTCAGACTTCATTTTCGGCTAATTAGCTATTGTTGATCACAATCATATTTATTGTTAAAAAGGATGAATTTTTCCAATTTATTTATAAAATTTCAATAATAGAAATGTTTCCACGGTTTTTTTAATATTTGATGTTCTAAACACTGATAATATTCTTTTTATTGTAGTAATATGTTAGAAAAACAAAAAACTGAAACTAAAAAGGTGGAATACTATGTCGTAAAGGATTAAACTAAAGTTTAAACTAAATACTTATAGTCAAAGTCAGATGTTGAAATAAAGTACATCCCCAGATAGCCAAATCTGTAGAAAGCAGATTTTTTTAAATATCTGCTACACATTATGCCAACAAAATAACAGAATTGTTACAGAATTAGATATACATAATACTGTTGACATGCTAGAAAAAACGTAATAGAATCGGCAGGATCTACTCAGTTTTTGTCAACAATTTGCCTTCACATTATGTCGACAGGCGATGTTAAGAACACAAGCCTAATGCGGACGCAGTAATGCGGATTGCTGTCATTTTTTCTGCTCGAACCTGCTGAGTCTGCTAGAAGAATGCAGACATTTTGCCTGTTTATATGTATTTTTTAAATAAATTTATCTTAAATATATAACGAGCTGATTACTTTTGGATTTGCAACACAATTAATCTGAAATAATCTCCCCAAATTAAATTAGATCATCAATTTGATGCTATTAGCATTTTAAAATCTATAAATAACTTGTTACGAGAAGTATTACTCTCGGCCAAAATTATTTTGTGACTTAATATTCTTATTTATTTATGTATCGATTATTGCCTATCATTCTACAGACTGATTTAACTGCTGCTAATAATGTTCAGGACTCCATTGCACGCGGATGTTTTTACATCATACAGTTGGTCTGCAAATATTGTCGGAAAAAAAAGATGGTTGCTCTTTCCTCCACACGAAGAAGATCATCTTCGTGATCTTTACGGGCAATTGGTATACGATGCGGTTTCAGAGGAACTCAACGATCATACGAAGTATAAAATGTATGATAGTGAAAAATTAAAATGTTTCGATGTAATTCAAGAAGCAGGAGAGATTATGTTTGTGCCATCAGGATGGCATCATCAAGTTTGGAATTTGGTAAATAATAACAGAATTTCGTAAAAGGAGTATTTAAATTGTTGATATTAATGATAAATTAATTATGTATCGTCTTTTGTGAAGGAAGATACAATTTCTATTAATCACAATTGGATCAATGGCTGTAATATCACTAATGTATGGTGTGCACTAAAAAAGGAATTAAGATCTGTTATGAAAGAAGTTGACGACTGCAAGGATATGAAGAACTGGAATGAACATTGCCAATTGATGCTAAAAACCTCTTATGGCATGGACTATAAACAATTTCTGGAATTTATATCGTTTATTGCTAAGAATCGTTTACATGCTATGATAAAAAAGAGTCAAGTCATAAGTTTTAATAAGTATCGTTTTGGACATAATCATTGTCTATTTGATTTGCAAGCACTTAAAGTCATATTGGAGAATATTATCATAGACGCGCAAAATCTGTCTGTGTACAATTTGATGTGTAAAAATGATGAAGCCCGCATTTTACTGAAAAATATTGTTTCGTTTCTCAATTCTTATAATATTATTGAAAATGCAGTTTTTCTATGAATATAAAATCCAATAAACTGTTAACGAAACAAGACAAACTGTTAAAAAACCAATTGTAAATTTTGTAGTAAATATAGCATGTACTTTCATAGTTGATGTCATTTTTATATATATATGTCAAATTTTATAAATCTCCCCCTCCCCCCTCTCTCTCTCTCTTAACTTCATTTAAATTTTCTCTTAAAAGATAACGTTTTGCAGAAGTACTTATTTTAAAATTGCTTTTGTACAATAAGCATTATATTAGATGCCATTTAATCATAGCAGACACAAATAAAATTTATAAAATAATTAAAAAAGGAATTATCAATTTAGAAAGAGAGACTGCAAATGCATGAAACATATAGTACAGTAAAAAGCAATAATTATCTTCTATCGATTTTATAATGAATATAGCTATATTAAAAGCGCAGACATATAAGTGAAATTTATTTTTACTCTTAAAAAATAATTAAACTTAGAAAACGTAACTTTTTTTTCTTTAGGTGAATGAATCGTATATACTCTAAATATAAAGATTTACAATAAAAATTTAGAAATCTGTATTCTCTCTATTAAGCTAAAGGGCAACCCAATCGTTGGATACATTGTCTCTGGTGCTTATAAAATATCTCGCAAAACGCAACTTATATCTATCTTTAACATATTGTCTTATTTACTTTTCAATTATGTAAGCATAAATAATCTACTTTTTAAAGACGTGGCGTGCACGTGTGCTCCTGTATGCGTGTGTGTGTGTGTGTGTGCGTGTGTGTGTGTGTGTGTGTGTGTATATATATATATATGATATTTTAATAAAAATATACAAAATTTCTAAGATATAAATATCATTTTTTCAGTGTCCGACATGTTGACAAATTGCCCTAACCATGAATTTTTAATAAAATAATTCAATAATGTATAAATATACATTATTGAAAGATATTCATAAATATATAATTCCTAATAATATATTACTTTTGAATATGCATTTTTAGTCTTATATGCATTTTTATTCCATTTCGAATTCATCCATTATTTCGATATATAATGCTAATACAGATATGCATAAAAAAAAGTTATAGAAATTCATCTACATCACATATAGCAGTACTCTAATTAATTTCATAGAATTTATAGAATCTCTCTGAAAAAAATTTAAAAAATCATGTAATTTCTTCCATCTGTATGATATGTCTGTATATATTTATAATAAAAATGTATTCTCCCATATGCAAGGAAATGTATAATCTTTCTCATTATGTGTGTGAGTTGTGTTCCTTTTTTTCACACAGCTACTTATAAACTGATAACAACAAACAATAAAGATATTATACCAGCAGAAAGCTATTTAAAACCAAATGGATAGCTAGCGATTTTTTCCTACATTACTAAAGAAAAAGGTTATCATTGTTGAAAAATATGATAAACAATTTTTATCGCAGTTTCTCTTGATAAAATTTTTTTTCCGGCCACAAATAAACAGAGCTATAGGTAATACATACATCCTATCACCTATATCCGCACACGTACATACAACATACATCTGTACATTTGTTATATTTCTATAAATCTAATTTTTTTCAATTTACAATAGTATTTCAATTTTATCTTGCATAGCAAGTCTAATATCTAAAGCATCACATGTCATAAAGTCCAATGCATTCATCAACAATTAACCCTTATTGCAAAGTTTAGACTTTCCGCAATGTGCGCTTTTTTTGATAACTCTTTTTATACGTTAGATGTGTACATTTCTCCTTTATAAATCCTTACAGTTTACTATTTATTATGGCTGAATAGAAGTAAACAACAGGCATTTATTCCGCTATAGAATCAAATATA